GAGAAATATAAATAACCTCAGATATGCGGATGACACCACCCTCATGGCAGAAAATGAAGAACTAAAGAGCCTCTGATGAAAGTGAAAGAGGAGAGTGAAAAAGTTGGCTTAAACTCAACATTCAGAAAACTAAGATCATGGCATCCGGCCCCTTAACTTTATGACAAATAGATAGGGAAACAATGGAAACAGTGGACAGACTTTAGTTTTGGGTCTCCAAAATCACTGCAGATGGTGACTACAGCCATGAAATTAAGTGACACTTGCTTCTTGGAAGAAAAGTTGTGACCAAGCTAGACAGCATATTAAAAAGCAGAGACATTACTTTGCCAAAAAAGGTCCATCTAATCAAGACTATGGTTTTACCAGTACTACAGGAGACCCAACCAGTCTGTCCTAAAGGAAATCAGTCCTGAATTTTCATTGGAAGGACTGATGCTGAAGTTGAAACTCCAATACTTTGGCCACCTGATGCGAAGAACTGACTCATCTGAAAAGACCCTGGTGCTGGGAAAGATTGAAAGCAGAAGAAGGGGATGACAGAGGATGAGATGGTTGGATGGCATCACCAACGTGATGGACATGAGTTTGAGTAAGCTCCGGAGTTGGTAATGGGACAGGGAAGACTGGCGTGCTGCAGTCCATGGAGTCGCAAAGAATTGGACATGACTGAGAGACTGAACTGAACTGAACTAGGCTTGATCCTCAGCTTGATCTACTCTCTAGCTGCAGGAGATGAGAGTCAATTTCTATGCTGCCAATGAAAGTTTCCTTTGGGTTTCCCTTGTGGTTCAGGTGGTAAAGAATCTGCCAGCAATGCAGGAGGCTGAGTTTCAATCACTGGGTCAGAAGATCCCCTGGAGAAAGGAATGGCAACTCACTCCAGTATTCTTGCCTGGAGAATTCCATGGACTAAGAGAAGGCAGGCAGGCTACAGTCCATGGGATTGCACAGAGACAGCCACGACTTAGCAACTAACACTTTGACTTTGACTTTAATGAAACTTCTGGCTTTTACATCTGTCATTTCTTTTAATTTCTAACATATCACCTTTAACCTTTCATTGTGTTTTCTCCCAGCTACAAACATTCAGTTCCATTATTCTTGCAATTATTAACTGATTTCATGGGCAGACAATATGAAAAAGAGGTCCCATAGAGCATTAATTATTTCTAGATTTTGCAGAAGTTATCATTTCTTTGATTTTTATCCATGAATTCCTGAGAATATCTATTTTGTCTAAGAACTAAGGAGATTTACAATGGAACCTGAGCTGTGACTAGGGAGCTTAACCTCTGTTATGAAATTAACAAAGCCATGTTGTCTATCCTATAAGTGTAGGTAAAATACAGTTGTCCAGAATGCATAAAAAAATCTCAAAGAAGAGTATCATCACACTACATTTTTCATATAGGAAAGTGATAGTTTATTTTTGTCATAGAGTTACAACTTAGGAAAATTTGGGGAATAAAAGTGATAAAGGGGAATTTTCACTGGAGCCATTAAGAGAGCAACTATAAATATTCATAATGCAGAAATATTGCAACTGAACTTTAGCTGCTTGATGACTTGAAGGCCAAAAGTTAAGAAGGAGAATGTTACTGATACAAGCAAATTCACACTTGGATGAAGGGGAGAGGTCCAGACAAGTAGAATTTAGACTGACACCAGAATGTGCTCATAGGGATAGTGGACCTGTGGTGGGCTCATTAAAATTATGAGACCCAAATCAGTTCAGCAACATCAGCCCCAGCCCAGGTGTCCTAATGATCAGCACAAAAGAAGGGTCTGCATTAGTGGGGACAGAGGTAAACAGAGACAGTGGTTACAGGCTTAGCAGCAAGAGGAGGGACAGCACACGGGGCTGGGGCAGCTGGAGATGACACAGGTGGGCCGATAGCAAGTGGTGTGGCAGGAGACCCGGCCACACACTGGCCGCAGGCAGCAGCTTGGGCGGCAGCAGCTGGAGCCACAGCAAGAAGGGCGGCAGCAGCTGGAGATGTGGGAGCAGGTGGGCTGGCAGCACACAGACTGGCAACAGCGGTGCCTGCAGCAGCTGGAGATGCAGCAGGTAGGCCTGCAGCAGCTGGAACCACAGCTGGACCCACAGCAGGAGGGGCGGTAGCAGCTAGAGATGCAGCAGGTGGGGCGAGGGCAGGTGGGCTGGCAGCACACAGGCTGGCAGCACTGGGGCCTGCAGCAGCTGGAGATGCAGCAAGTAGGCCTGCAGCAGCTGGAACCACAGCTGGACCCACAGCAGGAGGGGCGGCAGCAGCTAGAGATGCAGCAGGTGGGACGAGGGCAGGTGGGCTGGCAGCAGACGGGGCTGCAGCAGCTGGACACACCACAGCTGGGGCGGCAGCAGGTGGTCCTGCAGCAGGTGGTCTGGCAGCAGCTGGGCTGGCAGCAGGTCTCCTGGCAGAGACTTCGGCCATAGCTCTGGTCAGAGCAGACGGAGCCACAGCAGGAGCTGACCATGGTGTCAATGGAAGGAGTGGAGTTCCACGAGTGGGCTTGCAAGAGGGTGGTTTCTTGTTTTTGACTGTTTCCTTACCCCTGTCTCTTTTTATACTCTGCTTTTAGCTGGTCTTACCATGAGCAATGCTTTTTCCTTGTTATTTTTCCTACTGGATAATCAGTTAACAATACTACTAAGTTCATAATTGTGTTTATGAAGTTAATTATGCCAATATCTAAGCATCAATATCTAAAGAATCATTTCCTTTTCTATTATTATGTTCACCGAATCTTGTTAAACTGTGTGTAACCACTTTGTTTTTCTTCCTCTAATGTGTCTTCTAAGTTGGAAATATCATGTTTATTACTGAGTTTTTATGTGTCACTTCTTTTCCTTCTTTGTGTATAACTCCATGATAATACTTTGAGAATGGCCGTGTCTCTTTTTATGTCAAAGTGGAAATAATGCATGCTACTGATAAGGCAGAATGCTGATAAGGAAATAAGAGAAAAGACTCTTGCTGGGATTTTGTGTTCAGTGTGGGGAGACTGGTGGGGAGGTAGGCTTGTTGACACACTTTTGTACAATGAGAGAAGACTAGGGTGTGTTTCCTGGCTAATTAGAGAGTCAGGGGGTTACAAAAGACTTCCAGTCTCATTGTAATGGCTACCCCAAGAGTTAGCTTTTAATTTTTCCTTTTCAGTGGTAAGAAACATTTACAAAGATGAACTTTTTCCTATAGTGTGCTAAAAGTGAGTGGGTTTGACCTATCTTCATAAGCCAACATATGCAATGAATTCTGCATTATTCAGAAGGTTTCATTTAAAGCGTTTTTTTTTTTTTTTTTTTTGTACTCTTTCAAAAATTTGAATTCAAGTCATTCTGGATAAAGAGGCTATAAATAGGCAAGCCTTGCTTTTTATCCTCCTGCTCAAGCTTAGTCGCTCACTCATGTTCAACTCTTTGTGACCCTTCAGACTGTAGCCCTCCAGGCTCCTCTGTCCATAGGATTTTTCAGGAAAGAATACTGAAGTAGGTTGCCATTTTCTTCTCCATGCTCATTATCCTACAAATAGTCAAATATATTAAAAGGCAAAATTTTGACAAGTAGTCAAAACACCAAAGCATGAGTTTCCAAAACAAGCATGATGTGTTTAAAACAAAGATAAATTGGGAAATTGGGATTGTTATATATACACTACTGTATATAGATAACTAACATAAAGAGTACCCACTGAATAGCACAGGAAATTTTACTCAATACTCTGTAGTACCTGTAAGGAAACAGCATCTAAAAAAGAGTGGATATGTATGTGTGGGCTTCCCTGATAGCTCAGTTGGTAAAGAATCTGCCTGCAATGCAGGAGGCTCTGGTTCAATACTTGGCACAGGAGGATTTGCTGGAGAAGAGACAAGCTCCCCACTCCAGTATTCTTGGTCTCCCCTACTGGCTCAGCTGATAAAGAATCCACCTGCAATGCAGGAGACACGAGTTCGATATCTGGGTTGGGAAGATCCCCTGGGGAAGGGAATGGCTACCCACTCCAGTATTCTGGCCTGGAGAATCCCATGGACTATATAGTACAAGAGGTCACAAAGAGTTGGACATGACTGACTGAATTTTGCTTTCACTTTCATATGTGTATGTGTGATTGGCTTACTTTGCTGTACAACAGAAACTAACACAATGTAAATCAACTATACTCCAATAAAATATTATGATATGAAATATCCTGGGAAAACCTTCCACCCAATATATTTGAGCTAATATTGATTTTTTGTAATAGTTATAGATCCTTGGCCTTAGCCTATACAGTTTTCTCTGATTACTCTTAAATCTTAAAGTGCTCAGGGCTGGTGCACTGGGAAAACCCAGAGGGATGGGATGGGGAGGGATGTGGGAAGGGGGATCGGGATGGGGAACATATGTAAATCCATGGCTTATTCATGTCAATGTATAGCAAAAATTACTACAATATTGTAAAGTAATTAGCCTCCAACTAATAAAAATAAATGAAAAATTTAAAAAAATCTTAAAATGCTATTTGTGCCTTAAAATTATATATTTTACATTTGTTATTTCTTTCTTTCCAATAATATATAATCTATTAAAAGGCCAGAAAAATTCCAAAAATAAATAAAACAAGCATTACATACTTCCAATGAAAAATGAGATAATATAGGGCTACTATTTGTAAGTGCTTGCCATGTGCCCAATATTCTGCTGAATACTTTGTAATTATTATCTTGATTTTTCTTCTCAAAGAACCCATGAGGTACTTGCTATTCTCTAGGAGTCCACATAAGAATGAATTAAGGTTGCAAATCCTGTAATATTGTCTGTAAAGTATGTGTATGTGTGCATGAGCATTCAGTCTTGTCCAGCTCTTTGTGACCCCATGGACTGTAGCCCACCAGGCTCCTCTGTTCATGGGATCCTTCAGGCAAGAATACTGGAGTGGGTTGCCATTTCCTTCTCCAGGGGATCTTCCTGATCAGGGACTGAACTACATCTCTTGTGTCTCCTGCATTGGCAGGCAGTTTCTTTACCAGTTGAGACACTGTGGAAGCCTATGAAGTATAAATAGCACTAATTTCTCACCTTTGATCATGCTGTTATATCTCCTTCAAATGTTCCTTTTCCTTTAACAACTCAGTACTTTTTTATTTTTCCTTTGAGTTTCAGCTTAGAAGTCTCTTCTTATGGTTTTCCTTGACATATTTAAAGAAAAATCATCTGTTCCTCCATTCTACTTGATTACATTTGCAACATTAGAATTTTGCACAACAGACTATACCTAAATGTCTGTCTCCAGCTGGACAGTAAATATCTGAGGTGAACACTTGGACCATACATCATCACCAACGTGCATGAAATGGAGCACATCACCAGTGTTTTCTTTGTATTTCTAGGAATCTCTTTCTAAATTTGTTTGTATAATTACACAAAGTGTGTGTGGCTCCAAAGTAAATTCTACAAAGTCAGGCTTATCCAAGGAAGTTATTCCTAATCTCTCTATGCATTCCCTTGCTCCCCATAGATAGTCATTTTTATAATTTAAAGTTTTCCTTCCTATTGCTATTTCAAAACAATTTTTGCATATCTGTATCTCTTTTGTTTCTTAGATAAATGGTTATATAATATACACACTTGACTCCAAATTGCTTTTTCTCATTTAACCATTTATCCCAAAGATTACTTTATATTAGTATGTTCAGATATTCTTCATTCCATTCTCAGCCACAAAGTAGCCCATTCTCTGGGCATAATGTGGCTTATTTAGTATGTTACATGTATTGGTATCATAATTGATCAATTTGTTGGCTTTAATCAGGTAGTTTTTACTATATATAATATATATAGTGACACATAATGTAAAATATATATAAAATATACTGACATCTTCATGGATCACAGCCTTGTCATCGTGAAGCGGCTTGCATAACTCAATGAAGCTATGAGCCATGTCATGCAGGGCCACCCAAGATGGACGGGCCGTAGTGAAGAGTTATGACAAAATATGGTCTGCCAGAGGAGGAAATGGCAAACCACTCCATTATTCTTGTTATGAGAAGAACCCCATGAAGAGTATGAAAAGGCAGAAAGATATGACACTGGAAGATAAGACCCCAGGTGGGAAGGTATCCAGTATGCCACTGGGGAAGAGTAGAGGGCAATCACTAGTAGCTCCAGAAAGATGAAGCAACTGGACCAAAGTGGAAATGACACTCAGTTGTGGATGTGACTACTGGTGAAAGTATACTCTAATGCTGTAAAGAACAATATTGCATAGGTATCTGGAATGTTAGGTCCATGAATCAAGATAAATTGAATGTGATCAAGCAGGAGATGGCAAGGGTGAACATCCACATCTTAGGAATCAGTGAGTGAACTAAAATGGATGGGAATGGGTGAATTTAATTCAAATGGCCATCATATGTACTCCTGTGGGCAAGAATCCCTTAGAAGAAATGAAGTAGCCCTCATAGTCAACAAAAGAGTCTGAAATACAGTACTTGGGCACGATCTCAAAAATGACAAAGTGATCTTGGTTCATTTCCAAGCAAACCATTCAACAGTAATCCAAGGCTTTTCCCCAACCACTGATGCCAACGAAGCTGAAGTTGACTGGTTCTATGAAGACCTACGAGACCTTCTAGAACTGACACCAAAAATAAAAATAAAAATAAAAGATGTCCTTTTCATTGTAGGGGATTGGAGTGCAAACGTAGAAAGTCAAGAGATACCTGTAGTAAGTTTGACCTTGGAGTACAAAATGAAGAAGGGCAAAGGCTAACAGGGTTTTGTCAAGAGAACACATAGCACACTGGTCATAGCAAACATCCTTTCCAACAACCCAAGAGATGACTCTACACATGGACATCATCAAATGATCAATACCAAAATCAGATTGATTATATTCTTTGCAGCTGAAAATGGAAAAGCTCTATATAGCCAGCAAAAACAAGACCTGGAACCTGACTGTGGCTCAGATCATCAGTTCCTTATTGCAAAATTCAAGCTTAAATGGAAGAAAGTAGGGAAAACCACTAGGCCATTCAGGTATGACCTAAATCAAATCTGTTATGATTATACAGTGGAGGTGATAAATAGATTCAAGGGATTAGATCCAGTAGACAGAGTGCCTGAAGAACTATGAACTGAGGTTTGTAACATTGTACAGGATGCAATGACCAAAACCATCCCAAAGAAAAAGAAATGCAAGAAGGCAAAGTGGTTGTCTGAGGAGGCTTTGCAAATAGCTGAGGACAGAAGAGAAGTGAAAGGCAAGGGAGAAAGGGAAAGATATAGCAAGGAGAGATAAGAAGGTCTTAAGTGAACACTGCAGAAAATACACAAAAACAATAGAAGGGGAAAGACTAGAGATCTCTTTAAGAAAACTGGAGATATCAAGGAAACATTTCATGCAAGGATGGACATGATAAAGAGAGAAACAGTAAGGACCTAACAGAAGCATAAGAGATTCAGGAAGAGGGGGCAAGAAAACACAGAAGAACTGTATGTAAAGGGTCTTAATGACACAGATAACCATGATTGTGTGGTCACTCACTCAGAGTCAGACCTCCTGGAGTGTGAAGTCAAGTGGGCCTTAGGAATATTTACTATGAATAAAACTAGTGGAGGTGATGGAATTTCAGCTAAGCTATTTCAAATCCTGAAAGATGATGCTGTTAAAGTGCTGCACTTAATATGCCAGCAAATTTGGAAAAAGCAGTGTCCACAGGACTGGAAAAGTTCTATTTTCATTCCAACCCCAAAGAAAGGCAATGCCAAAGATTGTTCCAACTACTGTACAATTGTGTTCATTTCACATGCTAGCAAGGTTATGCTCAAAATCCTTTAAGCTAGGCTTCAGCAGTTAGTGAACTCAGAACTTCTAGATGTACAAGCTGGGTTTAGAAAAGACAGAGGAACCAGAGATCAAGTTGCCAACATTTGTGGATCACAGAAAAAGCAAGGGAATTCCAGAAAAGCATCTACTTCTTGCTACATTGACTACACTAAAGCCTTTGCGTGGATCACAATAAACTGTTGAAAATTCTTAAAGAGGTGAGAAAAACATACCACATTACCTATCTCTGGAGAAACCTGTATAAGGGTCAGGAAGCAACAATTAGAACTGGACATGGAACAACAGACTAGTTCAAAATCGGGAAAAGAGTATGTCAAGGCTGTATATTGTCACTCTGCTTATATAACTTATATGCAAAGTACATCATGAAAATTTCCAGGCTGAATGAATCACAGGCTGGAATCAAGATTGCAGGGAGAAATAACAACCTCAGATATACAGATGATACCACTTTAATGACAGAAGATGAAAGCAACCAAAGAGCCTCTTGATGAGGGTGAAAGAGGAGAGTGAAAAAGCTGACTTAAAACTCAACATTAAAAAAAAAAATTCAACATTATAAAAACCAAGATCATGGCATTTGGTCCCATCACTTCATGTCAAATAGAAGGGGGGAAAGTGGAACAGTCACAGATTTTATTTTCATGGGCTCCAGCATCACCGTGGATGGTGACTGAAGCCATGAAATTAAAAGACATTTGCTCCTTGGAAGGAAAATTATGACAAACCTAGAGACTGTATTATTAATAAATAGCAGAGCCATCACTTTGCTGACAGAGGTCCATATAGTGAAAACAATGATTTTTCCAATATGTGAAAGTTGGACCATAAAGAGGGCTGAGCACCGAATAATTAATGCTTTTGAATTGTGGTGATGGAGAAGACTCTTGAGAGTCCCTTGAACTGCAAGGAGATTCAACCAGTCAATCCTAAAGATAATCAATCCTGAATATTCATTGGAAGGACTTATGCTGAAGTTGAAGTTCCCATACTTTGGCCACTGGTTGAGAAGAGCTAACTCATTGGAAAAGAGTCATCTGATGCTGGGAAATATTGAAGGGAAAAGGAGAAGAGGGTGGCAGAGGATGAGATGTTTAGATAACATCACTGAGTCAATGGGCATGAATCTGACCAAATCCCCGGGGATAGTGAAGGACAGGGGAGCCTGGAGTGCTGAGTCTATGGGGACACAAAGAGTCAAATGCAGCATAGCAACTGAACAACAACAAAATATATAATGAACGGTGATATATAATGTATGGTGAATTATATATATATATTTAATGTATATATTAATACATATATCTCTTTCTGTATATTTGTATATAATCTTTCATTATTTGTTTTATTTTCTTTCTCTCTTAGTATATCTTTTGATATTTAGGAAAGTTTGTATTTTGCACTGACAATAGCCTTTATATAAATATCTTTATATAATATTCTATGAGCCCAATTTATAGGCTACTGTCAATTGATTCTCTACTTTCAGAAAAAACTTTTAAAACCTTTGAAAAGGGGACTGTGTCCCCATTTGTAGCACTAATATCTGCATCTAAAGAATGGCTCCAAATCTCATTGTATTTGTATAAGTAAAAGCATAGAGAAAAAAAAAAACTATGCATAAACCTGAGTGGATAAATGTATAGAAAAAATATTTACAAGTAAACACATCAAACAGTGCTTTTTGCTGAGAAAGTCCACTTCAACGTCACTCCATTGGTGCAGAGAGTTTGTTCTGTGTTGTTTTCCCCAGATACTTTAGTGCCTTTAACCGTGTCTCACATTTAATAAATATTCAATAATGAATGAAAGAAGAGAATGGCATCTGGAAGGAACCACTGAAAGCAGACTCACTTTTCAGTGAAAATATTGGCTCCCATTTTCCTACAGAAACAATTGACAGGAGCTCAATGCTACTCTCAGATGTGGTCATGCAGACTGCAATTTGCCAGTTTCCACCAAACATATTGTCTTATCAAAGACCTACTTCACTTGTCTAGGTCACCTATCGGTAATTGAGTGCATGTGGACTTGAAACTTCCCTCAAAAAAAAAGAAGAACCACAAATGAGGTCTTATTGTAAACAGGGGAGAACCAGTGCACACTTGGTTTGCTGCATGGATGACACCTAGCACTTAGTGCAAGTCTGAATATAAACTTGCAGGCTGTGTTAAATAGCATATTGTGTAGCTATCATAGCTGATGTGATGCCTGAACCATATACTGTGTTCTTTTTGCTTTTGTATACGAGAAGTTCTCCAAACTACTTTTCACTTTTTTGTTCTTTTCTTAATGTTGGGGTTAACATTTATAGTGTTAGATGATTTGCTCACGAAATCAGCAGGCACCTCGACTGAGGGACTGAACTGAACTGAACTGAACTGAGGAAAGAATTGAATGGTGAATAATGGAACTTCTCACTGAGAAGTGGCAAGGCCCTGCTGTGTGTCCTACAGGTGTAGTTTAAATACACTTGTCTAGCAACCAAAGACAAACTCTTAAAGGAGAAAAAAATCACGATGAATTTTTAATGCAGGAAAGTATCACTTTATTTTGGTACAGAAATAGACCAGGTTAAAGAAAAGTCTTAGGAAAAGAAGTTAGAAGAATGAGTTGACCAATTGTCAGGTGAAAGGGGAAAATCTGTTACTGGAGAAGTGCTCCATGCCATATCCGTCTCCTTCAACAGCATGGTCTGGTTCCTCACTGGAATCATGAAGCCCAGTTTAGCTGAGCAACATCAACCCCAAAGGAGGGTCTGGATCTATGGGGACAGAGGTAAGTGGAGACAGTGGTCACAGGGCAGCGGGCTCAGCAGCAAGAGGAGGGACAGCACACGGGGCGGGGGCAGGTGGAGATGACACAGGTGGGCCGATAGCAAGTGGTGTGGCAGGAGACCCGGCCACACACTGGCCGCAGGCAGCAGCTTGGGCGGCAGCAGCTGGAGCCACAGCAAGAGGGGCGGCAGCAGCTGGAGATGCGGGAGCAGGTGGGCTGGCAGCACACAGGCTGGCAGCACTGGGGCCTGCAGCAGCTGGAGATGCAGCAGGTAGGCCTGCAGCAGCTGGAACTACAGCTAGACCCACAGCAGGAGGGGCGGTAGCAGCTAGAGGTGCAGCAGGTGGGGCGAGAGCAGGTGGGCTGGCAGCACACAGGCTGGCAGCACTGGGGCCTGCAGCAGCTGGAACCAAAGCTGGAAACACAGCAGGAGGGGCGGTAGCAGCTAGAGATGCAGCAGGTGGGACGAGGGCAGGTGGGCTGGCAGCAGACGGGACTGTAGCAGCTGGACACACCACAGCTGGGGCGGTAGCAGGTGGTCCTGCAGCAGGTGGTCTGGCAGCAGCTGGGCTGGCAGCAGGTCTCCTGGCAGAGACTTCGGCCATAGCTCTGGTCAGAGCAGACGGAGCCACAGCAGGAGCTGACCATGGTGTCAATGGAAGGAGTGGAGTTCCACGAGTGGGCTTGCAAGAGGGTGGTTTCTTGTTTTTGACTGTTTCCTTACCCCTGTCTCTTTTTATACTCTGCTTTTAGCTGGTCTTACCATGAGCAATGCTTTTTCCTTGTTATTTTTCCTACTGGATAATCAGTTAACAATACTACTAAGTTCATAATTGTGTTTATGAAGTTAATTATGCCAATATCTAAGCATCAATATCTAAAGCATCATTTCCTTTTCTATTATTATGTTCACCGAATCTTGTTAAACTGTGTGTAACCACTTTGTTTTTCTTCCTCTAATGTGTCTTCTAAGTTGGAAATATCATGTTTATTACTGAGTTTTTATGTGTCACTTCTTTTCCTTCTTTGTGTATAACTCCATGATAATACTTTGAGAATGGCCGTGTCTCTTTTTATGTCAAAGTGGAAATAATGCATGCTACTGATAAGGCAGAATGCTGATAAGGAAATAAGAGAAAAGACTCTTGCTGGGATTTTGTGTTCAGTGTGGGGAGACTGGTGGGGAGGTAGGCTTGTTGACACACTTTTGTACAATGAGAGAAGACTAGGGTGTGTTTCCTGGCTAATTAGAGAGTCAGGGGGTTACAAAAGACTTCCAGTCTCATTGTAATGGCTACCCCAAGAGTTAGCTTTTAATTTTTCCTTTTCAGTGGTAAGAAACATTCACAAAGATGAACTTTTTCCTATAGTGTGCTAAAAGTGAGTGGGTTTGACCTATCTTCATAAGCCAACATATGCAATGAATTCTGCATTATTCAGAAGGTTTCATTTAAAGCGGTTTTTTTTTTTTGTACTCTTTCAAAAATTTGAATTCAAGTCATTCTGGATAAAGAGGCTATAAATAGGCAAGCCTTGCTTTTTATCCTCCTGCTCAAGCTTAGTCGCTCACTCATGTTCAACTCTTTGTGACCCTTCAGACTGTAGCCCTCCAGGCTCCTCTGTCCATAGGATTTTTCAGGAAAGAATACTGAAGTAGGTTGCCATTTTCTTCTCCATGCTCATTATCCTACAAATAGTCAAATATATTAAAAGGCAAAATTTTGACAAGTAGTCAAAACACCAAAGCATGAGTTTCCAAAACAAGCATGATGTGTTTAAAACAAAGATAAATTGGGAAATTGGGATTGTTATATATACACTACTGTATATAGATAACTAACATAAAGAGTACCCACTGAATAGCACAGGAAATTTTACTCAATACTCTGTAGTACCTGTAAGGAAACAGCATCTAAAAAAGAGTGGATATGTATGTGTGGGCTTCCCTGAGGCCACAGCTCTGGTCAGAGCAGACGGATCCACAACAGGAGCTGACCATGGTGTCAGAGGGTGGAGGTTCTGATGTTAATAGGAAAGTGAACTTAGTGATTTGAAGTATCTCTGTTGCCTGTCCTCTTTTATACCCCACTGAGACTGCTGTGTTCATGTCCTAGACTGTTTCCTAGTTCATTTTCCTAAAGAAACATTAGTCATTATGTTAGATCATCATGTTTTTCTGGTTAATTATTTTAAAATGAAGAATAATAAGATTTCCTTTTCCCAGTGTGTTAAAATTTTCTAGTCCAGCCTTTCTTACAGAATAAATTTTACTATTTCCCTGTTTGTCGTGGATTCCATCACTGGAATTCACCTGTGATCTGTGTATCACTCCATCATGTTGTTTGGATGGATTGTCCTCATGATGCCAAGATCTCTTTTGATGTCAAAAGAGAAGCAGAATTATTGTAGGCAAATAGAGAGAAAAATGGCCATCCTTGTGAGTTACCTGTATGCCATGAGGAAGACAGATCCAATCCGTGAGTCATGAATGCTGACTAGATAGTGGACTGTCTCTGGTGCTTCAAAGGATGTGTCAGGTACTACTTCCTGTATCCAATTTGAAACTGTTACCAATGACTCATTTTTTTTCAAGTATTAAAAAGTATTTGGAGCCACCTTGAAGGGACTCTCACTGACCCAATAAGGAGCAACTTGAACAACACAATGAATAAATGGCAATAAAGGATTTTAACCCGTTAAATAAAAATCCATGAGTCCATACTGAGGCCCATTGTGTAAAAAAATAAGGGAAAGTTATCCATGACAGTAGAATGTCAACTAATAAATATAGAAAGAAAAAGGGAATTAAAAATCACTGTCTACCATCCTCATAGTAAAACTTGATTCATGTAGTCCTAATCCTAACCCTAAGTCTATCTTTATCTAAATCATATCATAACCTACCTATCTATCTATCTATATCTACCTATCATCTATTTACCTACCTACCTACCTATATCCATCTATGAGAGAAAAAAATGTGGCATGATTTTGAATATAGGTAAAAACTATACGGTATAAAGAAGCTCTTTGTATTACTGTTTGAACTATTCTGTAAATTTGAAATATTTTTAAAAATAAAAAGTATACTTTTTGATAGCAGTCATTCCAACTGGTACCTCATTGTGGTTTCAATTTGCGTTTTGGGGAGGGAGGCATGAGGGGGGTTCAGAATGGGGGACACATATACATGTGTGGCTGATTCATGTCAATGTATGGCAAAAACCACCACAATATCGTAAAGTAATTAGCCTCCAACTAAAATAAATAAATTAATTAAAAGAAAAAGAAAATATGACAAAATAATCTAACATCCTTCATAAATAAGCAAATGACTATTTAAATGATAACAAATAAACAGAGGTAGGTGAAAAAAAATAAAAAGTAAAAAAATATTTAAACAAATTAAGATTAAAAATATTTTCCCACGGTGTTAGTGTATTAAAAGGAAGTAGTTTGTGTCTTTGGGGGAAAATATTAAAGTCTATGATAAATCTTACTTAATAGGAGCTTCTACTGTAAGAAGCCTTTCTTGTATCTCTAACTAATGTCATAATCTTTTTAATCTTGTTGGGTCCCTGAAAATATAGGACTTTTAACAACATGGCAGGATCGAGTTGATGCTAACAGACCCACCTTCTAGATAAAGCAAATAGAAATGCTTGAGAAATATTTTAAAATATTTCCATTACATAGCCAAACTTAAAGGGAAAGAAAAATTCTCATTTTCCAGAAAGAAAAAGAGAATGCCAACTGCATATGATAGCTGATATCCAGGATTGTGAAGGTTTGGTATCTAGTTATAAGCTTTCAAAATGAGAGGCTGGTAGTTGAAACCCAAGTAGGTGCAAGAAATGACTTTAAACTTTCACAAGACAAGGCCTGGGAAGGGAGAGTTCTATCCACAGTTTGCAATGTTGTTCAGCCACTAAGTCATACCCCACCCCTCTCTTTATGAACCCATGGACTGCAGCATGCCAGGCTCCTCTATCCCCCACCATCGCCTGGAATTTGCTCAAATTCATGTTCTTGACTCGGTAATGCTATCTAACTGTCTCATCCTTTGTTGCCCCCTTCTCCTTTTGCCTCAATCTTTCCCAACATCAAGCTCTTTTCCAGTGAGTCAGCTCTTTGCATCAGGTGGCCAACGTATTGGAGCTTCAGCTTCAGCACCAGTCCTTCCAATGAATAATCAGAGTTGATTTCCTCTAGGATTGACTGGTTTGATCTCCTTGCAGCCCAAGGGACTTTCAAGAGTCTTCTCCAGCACCACAATTCAAAAGTATCAATTCTTTGGCCCTCAGCCTTCTTTATGATCCAGATCTCACAACTGTATGACTATTTTCTTAACTTTATCCATTTCTCACAGCCATTCTCATCAAGAGGTTTGGTCTTGTATCTGCTTTGTCATAGCTGGAAGTTACATTCTGTCCTTTAGTTTTTCAAGAAGCCACTCTCTTTTGGACCCTGCAGTCTACTAGCTGTCTTTTTACCTCTCTGTTTATCCCTTTCCATTCTCTTGTGGTTGCTGTTGCTCCTCTTTCAACTTACAAATGTTGGAGTTTTCCATTAGCTTGGGCCATATGTATCCTCTCTTTAGACATCTAAATTCCTATGACCCAAGAAAACACCTAAAGTCCCATGGCATTAAAAATCATTTTAGATTTATTAGTGCCTCACTTGCAGACTGTGGTAGGAGGACACTAAGATGACTCTCAAGGATCCCACCTCCTCTGACTCATGTCCTATGTAACGCCTTCCCATTGAGTGTAAGCTGTACATAGTGATTCACTTCAAATGAATGGAATACAGCAGTAATGAGGACACTGGGCTTTCCAGACTAGGTTATTGTAAGATTTTGGTTTTCTTTCTGTTTCTTGATCTTTCTTAGGTCACTCACTCTGGAGAAAGCCAGCTACCTTGAGTAATCAGTCCATGTGGTGAAGAACTGAGTCTTCCTGCCAACAGCCATGTGAGTGAGCTTGGAAGTGGATTTTCCTCTCTTCATAAGAGTGCAGTCCTGGCCAACCACTTGCCTGCAACCTCATGAAAGATCCTGACATGCCACTTCCAGATTTCTAACCCTCAGAAAGTCCATGAGATAATAAATGTTTTGGGGGGGGATAACTTGTTAACCAACATTAGGTAACTAATACACATACCAATTCCTGGTCTGTGAAAGTCTACTACATTTTCCATGAAGATAATCATATTATTTGCAAATAATGATAGATTTATTGGTTTATTTTCTTTCCAGTTCTTCACATATTCTGTTTCTGGGAGAAAAATTCAAGAGGGATGAGACATATGTATACCTTTGGCTGATTCGTGTTGATGTAGGGCAGAAACCAACACAACATTATAAAGCAATTATCCTCTAATTAAAAATAAATTAACAAAAATAATTAAATAAGCAAATCTTTCTTTATTGTGAAGAAAAGTACTGAAAGAGCCCCTCACTCCAGAGAAAAGTAAAACGAAAAATTTTTCTTATGCTGAGACCAAGAGAAGGTGCAATCAATTCACACCTACCATCTCAGATCCACTTGGAATTCTGTGCTTTGAGTAAGAATGAGGAATAATGTCCCTATACAACTTAAATTATTATCTCATTGTTATTTATGTGTAGAATTTATGGAAGTCAAACACATTCATCATTCATTACCATTGAATTACTTATTTACCCTATAACTCTTAGAATATGCATATACAAAACTTTCTATATATTTCTCCTACTTCCAAATTCATCAGGAATTTGCTTTTATCCTTTTTTCCTAGGATAGACTTCATAGGAATTTGGGAGGGTTCTGAGTTAACCTAAGATAAAAATTGGTCCATTAATTGGATTCCCTACTAGTTTCCACATTTCTCATAGGATTTGTTGACAAGGTACCCAAGACCCATGCTGTCAAATACACATCCTAGAAAAGTCATTAAGATAAGAAAATACTAAAATTTGAATATTTTCAATAGTCTGTTAGCCCTCAACTTGTCAGGAAGGTTGATTTGCCCAAAACAATTATTTTGTTGTCAGTGGATGGAGAGAAAATAAGAAATCTGAGAGTGTAATAAATTGGGTTACATGTGGGATAGATAAACCCAAGGGAAGACTCTGGTTTTCCAAGGAGAAGAGCAAGGGCAGAGCAGTATATTTGGAGAGAAGGAAGGAAAAAAAGGAAGAAAGGAAAATGGAGGGATGACCCAACTAAGAGAGGAGTGGAATTTTAGGGAAATACATGCTTTAAAATGGAGAACTAAATGACAACCCACTCCAGCATTCTTGCCTGGAGAATCCCATGGACAGAAGAGCCTGGTGGGCTACAGTCCATGGGGTCGAAAGGAGTCAGACATGACTGAGCACACAGCACATGCTTTAAAAGTAATATCCATGGCTGATTCATGTCAATGTATGACAAAAACCACTACAATATTGTAAAGTAATTAGCCTCCAACTAATAAAAATAAATGAAAAAAGTATTTAAGAAAGGTTTGCTGTGGGGTATAATCCATCTCCTCCATAAACTTAAATTTTTCAAAAAAATTATTATTTTTCAATTCTCTTGGAGATATTGTGTTATGTATCGTGTTATTTCTGGGATTGTTTGTTTTCTTCTATGTCACTGCATGTTGGATTTGTCCTAAAGATGAGAGCAGAAATTGGTAAGCTTGATAAAGTTATATTAATATGTTGAATACCATTTCCCAGAAAATGAGGACAATCATCATAAAGCAGCAAACACAAGAACTTTGTATGGGCCAGGAAAGTGGAGCTTTATTCAGAAGCAGCAACAAGACACAGAAATATCCCTTAAAAGGCTTATAGGATGTAGCCCCCAGACTTTCAGATCTGAAGCTGTGACATCAGGGCCCCTATAGGCCCTGCAGGAATTTTCATGTTTGGGACTGGAAGACCCAGTACCCCCACATCAAAATGTCAAGTGTAGAACAGGGGCAACTCTGCTAATTTCTTTCTATAAATACCACCTAGTTTCATTTGCTAGCAAGGAAAAGGCCAACAAAGGAGAGAGTCTGGCCTGAGGCCAGGTTGTAGACACAGACTATGGGAATGGCCTCTGCTCTGGTGTCTGTGTGGAGTCTGCTTCTGTGATAAGACGGATGAAGAGGAGAGGGTGGGTTCAGAGAGGTGGCTCAGCAGCAAGAGGAGGGACAGCACACGGGGCGGGGACAGGTGGAGATGACACAGGTGGGCCGATAGCAAGTGGTGTGGCAGGAGACCCGGCCACACACTGGGCGCAGGCAGCAGCTCGGGCGGCAGCAGCTGGAGATGCGGGAGCAGGTGGGCTGGCAGCACACAGACTGGCAACACCGGGGCCTGCAGCAGCTGGAATCACAGCTGAAATCACAGCAGGAGGGGCGGAGACAGCTAGAAGTGTAGCAGGTGGAGCGAGAGCAAGTGGGCTGGCAGCACACAGGCTGGCAGCACTGGGGCTTGCAGCAGCTGGAGATGCAGCAAGTAGGCCTGCAGCAGCTGGACCTACAGCTGGACCCACAGCAAGAGGGGCAGCAGCAGCTAGAGATGCAGCAGGAGGGGCGACAGCAGATAGGCTGGCAGCACTGGGGCCTGCAACAGCTGGACACACCACAGCTGGGACGGTAGCAGGTGGTCTGGCAGCAGCTGGGGGGGCAACAGGTCTCCTGGCAGAGACTTTGGCCACAGACCTGGTCAGAGCAGACAGAGCCACAACAGGAGCTGACCATGGTGTCAGAGGGTGGAGGTTCTGGGTGGGTTTCCAGGAGAGTGAATTTCAAGAGTTTGGAAGCCTCCTTGTGTCATAGTCTCTTAAGTATTTCCAGAACAGGGTGAGTTGTCAAAATGTTTTCCTTTTTTTTGTTTACATAACATTTAAGTAATTATCGGAATAGGCAACAATTACGGTTGCCTATTTAATGGCTTAACCTTACTGGAAACAAAATTTGTTTTCTGGATACAGTAAATTCTATCCAATCTGCTTTTCTTTCTGATTCAGACCCACTGGCATCTTCTAGCCCACACTCTTGTCATTGTCCTCCACAGAGGGTTGTCACGTGGCATTTGGCGTCTGGAATTACATTTCTTCCTCTCCCCCGCCTATGTTTCCACCAGGACAGGATTTGGGAAGTCTTATTTCTTGTTGTACATTTCTTCCCATGACCAATGGGAAAGAAATCCCATCTGCACAGCATGGCGCCTGGCATGGGACATGAGGAAAAAGCCCTGTTCTGTGGGTCATTTTTGAGCAGTGGTGAAGGGATAGTTCTATGTGTATGACACTGATGAACTCTATGCCACTGGAATGGATTTTCTTGGATGCTTCAAACTTTGGATCATGTTGGATATTCTAAAACCCTGGCAGATAATTTATGGATTCTGCTACTACCAGTTCACATTGTTGATTAAGTTGTTATTTTTTTTTCATTTATTTTTATTAGTTGGAGGCTAATTACTTTACAATATTGTAGTGGTTTTTGCCATACATTGGCATGAATCAGCCATGGATCCACACGTGTTCCCCATCCTGAATCCCCCTCCCACCTCCCTCCCCATCCCATCCCTCTGGGTCATCCCAGTGCACCAGCCCTGAGCACCCAGCCTCATGCATCAAACCTGGACTGGTGATCTGTTTCATACTTGATAATATTCATGTTTCGATGCTGTTCTCTCAGATCATCCCACCCTCACCTTCTCCCATAGAGTCCAAAAGTCTGTTCTATACATCTGTGTCTCTTTTGCTGTCTTGCATATAGGATTATCGTTACCATCTTTATAAATTCCATATATATGCGTTAGTATACTGTATTGGTGTTTATCGTTCTGGCTTACTTCACTCTGCATAATGGGCTACAGTTTCATCCATCTCATTAGAACTGAGTCAAATGTATTCTCTTTAATGTCTGAGTAATATTCCATGGTATATATGTACCACAGCTTCCTTATCCATTCATCTGCTGTTGGGCATCTAGGTTGCTTCCATGTCCTGGCTATTATAAACAGTGCTGCGATGAACATTGGGGTGCACGTATCTCTTTCAGATCTGGTTTCCTCGGTGTGTATGCCCAGAAGTGGGATTGCTGGGTCATATGGCAGTTCTATTTCCAGCTTTTTAAGAAATCTCCACACTGTTTTCCATAGTGGCTGTACTAATTTGCATTCCCACCAACAGTGTAAGAGGGTTCCCTTTTCTCCACACCCTCTCCAGCATTTATTGCTTGTAGA